GCCCGGCTATTTTTTGGTTGCAGCCGTCATTGTTGTTTGGCGGGTCCGGGCTGTGGATTTGAACCCGCCACCTTAGGTGTACATGGCTGGCTCCTTAGCCGGTTGAGCTATAGGCGCCGAGCCATAAATTTCACTCTTAATACTGTTTTTCTACATCCCACAGGTTTTAGTATGCTGTGTTTCCAATTTCATTTGTTTAAAAACCTTTTAAATTTCTACCTCAATTTATTCATTGACTCAATGATCATTTGAGTCATGTTGTTTAATTTCCATGTATATGTATAGTTTCTCTTGGTTTGATTTCTAGTTGTATTCCACTATTTTCTTTCAACATTTGAGTCATGTTTTTTAATTTCCATGTATATGTATAGTTTCTGAAGTTTCTCCTGGTATTGATTTCTAGTTGTATTCCACTATTTTCTTTCTTTCTTTTCTTTCTTTTTTTTTTTTTTTTTTTGGACAGAGTGTCAAGCTGTTGCCCTGGGTAGAGTGCTGTGGCATCAAAGCTCACAATAACCTCCAACTCCAGCTCAAATGATCAGTTTTTCTATTTTTTGTAGAGAGGGGGTCTCATTTTTGCTTAGGCTGGTCTCAAACTCATGAGTTCAAGCAGTCTACCCATCTCAGCCTACCAGAGTCCTAGGAGTACAGGCATGAGCCACCACACTTGGCTCTATTCTACTATTTTCTGACATAATATGTGGTTTTAATTTCTTTTATTTGTTGAGTCTTGTAGACTTCTTTTTTTAATAAGAATTTACATTTGGCAGTTGTGGGTTAAGTGTTCTGGAAATACCTAGTAGGTCCATTTAGTCTAAAGTTTAAGTAACTTAAGTCTAAAGTTTAAGTAACTTAAGTTTAAGTCAAGTAATTTTTGTTGATTTTCTCTCCTAGTGATCTACCTTGTGCTTTGAGAGAAGTACTGAAGTCTCCCATTATTATTGTATTATTGTCTATACCTTTTTTTAGGACTAATAATATTTTTTCCATGAATCTGAGTGCCCTGGTGTTAATGCATACATATTTAAATGTGTCATACCCTTTTGCTGAATGTATACTTTTATCATTATATAAAAGATCTTTTTCTTTTACTCTTTTTAACTTAAAGTCTGTCTTATCTGATGTGACTATTCTTGCTTGCTATTGGTTTTTGTTTGTCTGGAATATCATTTTCCACTGCTTTACTTTCATTCTATATGTATTTTTACAGGTAAGAATGGTTTCATGTAAGCAGCATATAATTAGATCATTTTAAAAATCCTTTCTGTCAATTTATTAATACATCTTTTAATAAATTTATGTTCAAGGTTAATATTGATGTGAGATTTTATTCCTGTTCCTATTTTTAATTATCTAGTTATTTTCCAAATTCTTCATTTCATTCTTTTTCTTTTGTTTTTGTGGTTTGGTGTAATTTGGTCATGTTTTCATTTGATTTCTTTCTCTTCCTCCTGTGTGTGATTATTTTATAAGGTCTGTGAGCTTTATACTTTTTTTGTGTTTTTATGGTGGCAAATATCTACCTTTCATTTCATCATTAAGACTCCTTTAAGGAATTATTGTAGGGCTGGCCTCGTAATGACAAATTCCCTCATTGTTTGCTTATCTGGGAGGAAAGACTTTATTTCTTCTTCACTTGT